TCGTTTCTAGAGCGACAGCAAAGGAGTGGAAGACAAGATTGATTAGTGAGTTGACTAGAGAAAGAGGGAATTAACGTGAAATAGGACGGACAAAGCAAATTATATATTGCATAACCTTGTGTCTTGGGGTTACACGGTACCATTTATTAACCGATTTCCATTCGATTTCTTTCTTATGTTTAAAAAAATGGAACAGTGTAAACACTAAAATCGGATATCGTTTGGTTAAGCCAATGGAAAATTGTATCGTGCACAAAACACTATCCGATTTACCTGGGCGACGGTTTCAAATCGGATTGAAAAATCGTCTCGTGTAAACGCACCTTATTATCTCTGTAGTTTACACGGTACGGTTTGTTTTCTATGTTTCGACAAAAATAAAATCAGATGTCGTTTGTGATTAATCGAATGGAAAAATCGTATCGTGAGATCAGAACGCTACACGATTTACCTGGGGGACGATATCGAATTGGATAGAAAATCGGATGAAAAATCGTCTTGTGTAAACGCACCTTATCCTATAATCAATCACTCTGTAGTTAAGCGGACCAAACATTTTAATTAAAATGATTACCACGCCGTAGCAAAATGTCGCACGTCGCTTTCTATAACTGCAATAATTATATATACATCTCAAGAGCAGACAGCGGAACAGTTGCAGACATTAGGAGTGCGATGAAGCACATAAATAAAATCTACCTACACACTTAACATTGCATGCACAACTATTATGATAATATGATTCACTATACTCCTAAAACAAGTCATCATGCATAAGGTTCTTTGGGTGTTTCTGACAAAGATTTAGCCTATTATGTTTGATTGCTGTATGGTTTTCGTGGTTTTAAATGTTTTATGTATTTTACTTCCAACACCTTAGGTTACGAATACACTCTTCATAGATAATACCAGGATTAAAAGACGCGCGTTTCATCTACATATTATCCATTTAAATATCATGCAGCTTTTTCATTGATTATTTTTCAAACTACTGATGAATGACTGTATACCTAAAGAAGAAAGAAGATTCACAGATCAAAGGCCGCGTGATATCACAAGATTTCGACTTGTTGCAGAAGTCTCTGATGTAACAACACACTTTTCTCCCTAAAATGACGATCTTTCTAGATTCACGCAAAATTCTTTGGAGGATCGAGCTGTTGGCGACCTTTTGCATAGCTAAATGACAAAACATATTCCCTTGCATTAGTTCACTTGGTAGCCAACCAAATAGTCCACTTTTTCTCGTTTTATTCCTACTTTTCGGACCTTTTAATCACTGGATCTAGTTCTTTTATGGAAGTGTTTCTGTAATATCGTAATGAAGTATGAATTTCAACTTTTCCAATTACGTTTCCGGGATATTTCCCTTTAAAAACTGCATTTTTTTTATCGAAGGATGATTGACAACAGTGACTGTCTCTATTTAACAAATATCATTAATAGGTTTAACAGTTTGATCAAAGATCTGTGTAGATGTACAACTGTGTAAAAGCAAACTTAAATTTGTCTTTCTATGTTGTGATGTTACACTATTGTTTCAGATAAGGGCGAAGGTTTGGTACCATTAAAACGTTTAAACCCGCTGCAATTGTTTGCACCTGTCCTAAGTCAGGAATCTGATGTTCAGTAGTTGTCGTTTGTTGATGTGGTTCATAAGTGTTTCTCGTTTTTTATACAGATTAGACAGTTGGTTTTCCCGTTTGAATGGTTTTACACTAGTTATATTTGGGGCCCCTTATAGCTTGCTGTTCGGTGTGAGCCAAGGCTTCGTGTTGAAGACCGTACTTTGACCTATAATGGTTTACTTTTATAAATTGTGACTTGGATGGAGAGTTGTCTCATTGGTACTCATACCACATCTTCTTATATCTAATTAAAGCATATATTGCGGGATATAGATAGATACTTTACTCTCTGAAAACTAAGTACAAGTTTACAGAGCAACATACAATATAAAAATGCAATAAAGTTGAAGGTAAACAAATGCAGTGTGCTAATAGTGTATGAGAGAAATGATGTTTTTGCCCACCAAGAGTTTCCAAATGCAGGTAAAAACGGAAGTTAAAACGCTTTAGATCGAATAGTGACAGACACCCTTTTTTACTTGTAAAAAAATCGTAGAAAAGACAAAATGTTAACGCATAATGTACAAGGAAACAGTTTTCATAGAGTCGTGTAAATATGACCGGACGAAAAGCGTGTCAATTATTTGAACTATCATCTTTCGGACTTGAATAATTATATCTTTTAATTGTCATCTATAGCTCAATTTTCCCCATATAATTATCTTTTGGTTTAAAAGGTATGTTTCTACTAATCCGATAATGGACTTCGTATCTACGTGTCAAAGACCGTTTTTTAGATTATCTTTACAATGGACAATAATTGCTTAATCCATAGTTACATGTATTTCTTTATCATCATTTTTTATATACTTCTTAAAAATAATTCATATTGAAGTTTGGAAAGGTATTCTAACCGTAAACACATGACTCAATATTGTAAATAAAAGCAACAGTAGTATACCGCTATTCGAAATTCATAAATCGATTGAGAAAAAAACAAATCCGGGTTACAAACTAAAACTGAGGGAAACACATCAAATATAAGAGGAGAACAACGACACAACAGAAACACAACACTAAAATGCAACACACACAGAAACGAACTGTAACATCGTTTATATTCTTGTTGGATCGTTTATTAAATTGTTAAACTTTATACCGACTTGAATGTTCATTTGGCAACCAGCAAAAAGTCTGGTTAAATAAACCTGCGGATATACAATGTAGCTTCTTTCTCTAGGCCGACTTATCTTTTCTCTTACTCCTCTATCCATGTATGATCGGTGGGCCCACGGTCACGAATTGGCAAACTATTGATAGCCCCTTTGAGAAGTACATCACGAGAACTTACTCGTGGACTGATAGAGCCCGTGTTTTACACCAATCCCGGCTCATGCCTTAACTCTAAGAACCTATATGATGATCTCATAGAAGCATGCGCTTGAGAGCAGGAACTCGAGGGATCAATCTACGACCAAACATTCATATTTTTCTTTTTTCGCTAGGCATGCGGCATTTTGATGGTAAGTGGAAACACTGGTCGGACGGAGTCAGCATAATGTGTCCTTGTAAGATGACGGAGTCAGCATAATGTGTCCTTGTACGATGACTGAGTCAGCATAATGTGTCCTTGTACGATGACGGAGTCAGCATAATGTGTCCTTGTACGATGACGGAGTCAGCATAATGTGTCCTTGTACGATGACAGTCTGTCTCGTTATCTATCATGATAAAAATCTGACTCAAAAGTGTTTGTCTCGTCCTGAACATGCATGAAATATTTGCCACTGGAGGTTAAGCAAGCATTAATCAACCAGAGCGTTTGCCATGGCATATATTTATATCACAGTAACAGACACATGCACGTCGTAATATTTCCTACTGGACATTAAGCAAGCATTAATCAACCAGAGCGTTTGTCATGGCTTATATTTATATCACAGTAACAGACATATGCACTTAATATTTCCTACTGGACGTTAAGGATGTTCGCTACTCTGTTTTAAAATAACAAGCTTTTTAAAAGACTGTTATAGATTGATAGTATATAAATGAAGGAACTAAAAAAGCAGAAAAAAATGAAGGGTCCGTGTGCTTGTTTTCGAGATATAAGCCATTGAAAATTTGGCGGGAAATGATCCTCTCTAGACTTTTCATACATTTAACATTGTCACCTTTTTTCTCTCAAAAAAAATGAAAAAATAACAAGGATTTTATATGATTTTCAAATATGGCTTTTAAAACTATATGTTATAAAATTATGAAAAGAAAAGTAGGGGTTACCGGGCAAAATTTTTAAAGGCACTACATGGATAAAACAAGAGGATTCCGAATATCTGACAAAAACATCAAAAACAAGAGGAGCGAACATCCTTAAACGTCCATGATGGGCATCATTTTCTTTCTTAGAGAATCTTGCAATGATATAAGGTGGTACATAATACTACAGGGAGATAACTCTGTTAAAATCAGCTGAATGTTTTAATCACGTTTTATTGTTTAAGAAATATTAAGCTTCTCAATGATCAAAATTAGTGTTTGCCAAACTGCTATATATCCAATAAATGTTTTCCGATAAAGTGTGTTGTTCAAGTTTTTTGAAATTTTTATATTTTGGTCAAAGGGTCAAAGTGAATATTTTATCAAAATTTGATGAAAATTAAACGAGCAAAATTAATTTTAGTCAAGGAGTTTGGTACCACCTCAAGCAAACAATGCAAGACATTTCATAGATAATTGGGATAGGGAGTGTTGATGTTTACAATTGTTTATTAGTGTGTCGTCAATTCTGGAGGCGTTCGGAAAAAAAATATACATTATACATTCAAATTTATATGGTAAAATGTTGGGGAAAGAGTTCAATTCGGCACCCGACGGAATAAACTGTAATATGTTATTCTGTTCATTTAGTATATGACATATTGAACTCTTGCCCAATTTTGAGTCTTGAATGATAAAATATCTATATGTTCATCTCATTTTATCATTGGTATATTGACTAATGCTTTATGAATAATTTGTACATATGATATCTTGTCAGTAACTTCCATCTTGTGTATGCGAGAGGATGTATATAGCCTTTGTCTGTTGACCGATTTCCTTTGATAATTATTATCAATGAAATATTTGAAAAAGGTCCAATTCGACTGCACTTTATGAAAATTGAAGATAATTTTTTTTTTATCTAAATTAAAATGAAAATATTTGTGGTTTTTGCATTAAAAAACACTATCACCATGATTTATGTGCATGAAACTATTAAAATTTTCGCTAAAAGGAAAATCCTGAAATTTTGTTTTCAACAGACCATGAAATCTTGTACCAATAAAAGTTTCCAGTAAACAAATTAATCTATTGGTCCTAAATGTTATAAAACGCACGCGACCATGAAAACTGAAATTAACAATCGTCACAACCAGTTACTCTAATTAGAATACTATTCACCTGCCTTTTACCTGGCAGCAATTAATCCGAATAGGTGGGATAAAGTCTCTATTTCTCTTCTGTAAAATTTAACCCTGAACAAATAAAGGAGCCCTGGGACACATTTTAGTCGATAAACACTCAATAATTTGTATTCACGCATCAGGACGTCACGACCGGAAGATTCCGGGTAGATCTTTAACAGCAGACGAATAGATCGGACTACCTTTTCATTTAATCCAAATCTCCACAATTGAAAGGTCATAATTTCGTAATTGTGTTCAAATATCCACAATGGAGAATGTTCGCTACCGTGTAGCAAATGGTAAGTTTATTCAGTCTTATTTTCTGCAATGTTTATTTACTATTTTCTAGCGTCTTAATTACAAATGAGGTAGGTGTTAACAAGACAATTATTAGTTTTTCCGTATTCTTTTGTATTGATCGGTTTCAGGTGAAAAATTGATGAATATCTTAATGTCTGTTTCATTCGAAACGGATGACTGATCAGAAGAAAAGAGACAAATACAATAGTTATTTTCAATAAACCGGTTTGTTAAATTTTCAATTAAAATACTGGGTTTTAGGTATCTATAAACGTGCGAAGAAAATGTTTGTTTGTTGTTTCAATTTACACTTAACAATTGCTTTACATATTTTCATGTCTTTTTCTATTAAAAAAAGATGTTAAGGTCGGGTTTCAATACAATCCTTCTATTTTTTTGGGTAAAACAAGCCTTCTAAAGTTTTAATTGGTATGTTTGGCCATGCACTTTCGCATGCAACGTTAAAAGCCAAATATTCGCCCCCACAGAGTTAATATATTGCTTTTACATTAGTACTTAAATTTTCTATACATACCTGCCCTTGATATAAGCAATATGAAACATTTAGCCCGTATACTGTTTTTTTTTAACACGAGACCTCGTTTTGCCTATTCAAAAATAACTGTAAATAATAAAAGCCTAAGATATGATAACTACTATAATATGATCTCTATTCCTATGAAGCATATTTTCTTTAACAACCAAACAGCGTGAGGACAATGTAGAGACACATATCTGCAGTCGAAGACTGTCAGTTGCTTCCTATATATGTTTTTGTGTTGGCATGCTGTTTAGTTGATGTATAAATAAAAATCAATCAAGTAAAAATTAAGAATATCGGAAAGTACACAGAAAGTGAATAGTTATGCTCCAATTGAATAAGGATTGGGTGCACTGATGCAAATTGAGCAAATTTTGAGAATGAGAGCTTGTGCAATGTCCACATTAAGTATGTCATTAACACAGAAATTAGACCATTTTTGTCGAGCCTGCGACTTTTGTCGCAAAAGCGAGACATAGCGATCCTACATTCCGTCGTCGGCGTCCACAAATATTCACTCTGTGGTTAAAGTTTTTGAAATTTTAATAACTTTCTTAAACTATCCTGGATTATGATCATAACATAGTATCCAGAAGTAAATTTTGTAAAAAAAAATCCTGTTTATCCGTATTTTACTTATAAATAGACTTAGTTTTTCTGCCAGTTAAAATTACATTCACTCTGGTTAAAGTTTTAAAAATATTAATAACTTTCTTAAACTGTCCTGGATTTGTACCAAACTAGGACAGAAGCTTGTTTTGATCAAAAGCTAGTAACTATCTAGAAGGATTTTTCCGTATATTACTTATAAATGGACTTAGTTTTTCTTCCAGTTAACATTACATACAGTCTGCAATTAAAGTTTTTAATACATATATTAGATTCACAAACCATGCTGGATTTTTACCAATCTTGGACAGAAGCTTCTTACAAGCAAAAGATAGTATCTAGAGGAAAAATTTAATAATTTTTTCCCCATTTTTGTTGAGCCTGCGACTTTTGTCTTCCAGACAATCTATAGATTTGATTGCATACTGTATTCATTTTTTACAAGCATAACTTTTTTCATACATTTCAAACGTTTTATTTCATTAACTGTAAATCTATTATGTGCATTCCCCTATCACACTGAAAACATAGACAACAGCAAAAGTAGGCGAGACACTGGGTTCAGCGGAACCCTTACGATTTTTTTAATATACATGTATGTTTTTGTACTGAATCGTAGACGAGATTTATTTTAATATATGTATATATACGAAACTGAATTTAGTATAAAGACATACATGTATCTTAAAAAAAAATATCATCCATTAACTCCTTCTAATTCTACCATTAAGTGACCACGTCATTAGGTTGACTATCCTGTCACTGTTAACTTGGTCAACATACCACTTGAATAAACTTCGCATTGTGGAATTAAAGAAAATAATGAAGAATATGCATGTCAAAGACACTGAAGATGCATGTAAAGTTTAATGGAAATCTGATGATAATTAATACAATTTTCAGAGAATGGAATGTACGGGATTATATTCGTGAAAAGTTCTTTATACACAACACAATTGTCTGGAGGTTTAAAGGGGAAAACAAACGTGTAGGACCTATTGTAGACGTGTGCTCTGTTTGCACTTTTACGAACCCAGATTGTGTCCTTTTGTTAACATAACAATATAATTAGATATAAAAAGTCTTTAATTTGATAGAATTTTGGCCTAATTATATAGGGGGACATTCCTATGAATGGCCATCTGTTTTGTAAACTTAACAAAACTTGGCAGCCCACAACGGTATGTCCTACTTCAACGGAAATCTTCTATAGAAAATTGGTAAATTAAATTGAAACGAGCAAATATGATTGTTATTTTAACGTGACAAGTCGCCAAAAGGAGGAATTATACACTTCGTTTTAAACCCCCCATTACGTAACCTCTAGCTATACAAATCTTTCAAATGACGCTTTTTAAAAAGTTAGGCCAGTCAACCGTCCTAGATTCCGATCTTTTAAAACATATGTCACTGTTGACAAAACTCCTGAGTGACGTTTAGATATAGATCTAAGTGACCTTAATTGGAAATATACAATTATGTGTAAAGGAAATATTGGCGTAAACATTTCTGTGAATGAAACATGTTTAGGATTTCCGCTAGTAAGACTTCAAGTCACCAATACAGTTTATTGGAAAAAATAAATGTATTTATAGATAAATATATAAATTTTGTTTAAAAAAAACTCTCTCTATCACCTAGACGGATTTATCGGGACCTTTTATTTTTTTTAAAGAACACAATCATTAAAACCTTCCACATATTAAATAGCCTAAAACAGCTTAATAATAATGTTATATACGTTGAACTTGATTTTTCGGACTAGAATTCAATTATAGTTCCAAAGGTCTCGTCTTTATTTGGTTTGATATCCAATCGATTCTATATCAAACATTTGACTGTGCTGCTTCTTAGGAACGTAGACAGCGAACAAAAGCAAAGGTCGGTCGAGTCGGAATAAGTTGAAAACTGGTAAAACCCTAAAGAAGCATATACATTTTGGGATACTGAATAAAAAAATCTAATACATGACAAATATATAGTCGTATGGAGGGTTGGACGCCCGCAAACATGTTCAACACCGCCACATTCTGTATGTGCATGTCTGAAGCCAGGAGCCTTTAATTCAGTGGTTTTCGTTTGTTGCTGTAAATCATGTAAATCATGTTTTTCGTTTATTCGGGGGGAGGGGTGCGAAAATAAGGAGACGCAGTTAGGTTGGAAATGAGACAACTATTCAACAGAGATCAAATGATGTGGATATAAGCAACTATTAGTCGCCGTATGGCCTTCGTCAATGAGGAAAACCTATACCGTATGGTAATACGCGTTAGAAAGCCCATTATGTTTTGATTTTAACACAAAACAATATTTTTTATTTCTTTTACTTTTATATAATTATCCTTCTCAATATTTGAGATTGTTCTGCAATCCGAAATTTTCTTGGAGAAAAATATGTCGAGGTCAAGAAAAATCTGGCTTCAAACTTTGTAGAGACATTATCTCTGTCGAAATGTAATTACTAATTCGATTATAAAATGCACTTGAGCTCTGCGTTGTAATATTATCAACTGAAATGCACCACCGTCATAAAAAAATCTGCTGCTGATTGCTTATTGTTGACGAAAATAAGATATCTGTTAAGAAATGGCATTGTTGATATGTCTATCGAGTTGACCTTGGGTGGTCGAGTTGACCTAGAGTGATAAACGGACTATACGACGATATCTGATGTAGACGGATGGCATTCCTAACGATTTCTCGAAATAACTGATAATTTCCATTTAAAAGTGAAAAGAAAATTGTATTTGGTAGGTGTGATTTGATTTAAACTTAAATAATTTGTTCACAACACTATCAGATAACTTGTTGGATTGTATACAAGTATGTCATGCATTGTATTTCAATGTCTAGTTTTTAATTTTCAATTTACGTTTGAATGGTACATTTTTTATAAAGACATCGACAAAAATATGCATTGTACATATATTGTAAAGGGCCGAAGTTTTTTTTTTAAGTGGGAGGAATAAGTCATTACGATTATATTGTATTAGAAATAGATCCGAAAATCCTAAAAAAAATAATAAATAAGACACTAAAGGGGGTCGGTGGCTGAGAGGGATTCAATAATCCAAAGACCCTTTAAAGTATTATTAAAAAAACTGAAAATTGAGCATTATGAGCCCCGCTAAAAATGGAGGTTTCAAGCTCTTCATAACTTCTGCACTTGTACTGCTGCATAGTGACACGCTCGGGTCCAAACTTCCCGTCAGTTCCAGTTCAATCTCCCTGCTACTCAACACTAATGATGTAGGAAAGGAAACCAGTTCCGGAATGCTGGAATAAAAAAATTGTGCGGAGTTTGTCTTGGGTCTTAAACTTCAATAGGCAAATCATAGAAGGCAACGTTAGGAGTCGTACTTGTAAAAAATATATACATTAACCATCTATATAGCTCCATAACAGGGACCACCCTATAAATTGGTATCTATCAAATGCTTGGCAATTAAAAAAATCTAGATGTCCTTTTTTGTCCATAAATTCAATTGCCATCATATAAAGCCAGGTTTTTTTTATAAAATTTTATAATGTTTAACAAAATATGTTTCTTTTGTTTCATACCACAGCTGAAGATAATACATTTACGGTTTTGCGGTAAACTTTTTTGTAATTTGGTAACATTGCGACAGCATTACTCCTTTGAGTAAAAAAAAAATATGAAAATTTATGTCGCGTTTACAAATGACATTAAAGATAGATTGTTTGATTGGTGTTAAACTCCTTTGACAAATAATAGATGCATGATGGGACACAATACACTCCAGTATTGACTGTTTCTATTTTTACATAAAAAAAAAACGAATTAATTGATTATACGTAACAGTTTGGGCTTGAATTTATACATCAGAAATTATGCTTTTCACAATCCTTCTTAATTATTCTAACAAATCTATTAATATTATATGACTATAACTGTAATCAATAAAGCGTTTATCTTATACGGTAATACAGTTGTTACATGTAGACTTGATGGATATTGATCTAGAAACATACTCAGTGGTCCCTTAGTTAACCATCTATGACAAAAATGTGTGTAAAATTATATTTGTCACCCACACCTTCCTCATATAGTATATCATTTTTCTAGAAAATTTGAGGCAACTTGAACTACATTTCATGCATGAGTTACTTTGGTAAATTTGTCTGCTTTTTATAGGTCAATGCGTCAGAAATCCAGTTTGCTTTATCAGTTATATTCACCAGGGATTACCAAAGATCTGTAAATTGTAATAAACACTTAATTCTGTAAGGATGTTCGCTACTCTGTTTCAAAATAATAAGCTTTTTAAAAGACTGTTATACATTGATAGTATGTAAATAAAGGAACTAAAAAAGCAGAAAAATATGAAGGGTCCGTGATTTTGTTTTCGAGATATAAGCCGTTAAAAATTTGGCGGGAAATGATTCTCTCTTAGATTTTTCATACATTTAACAGTGGCACTTTTTTTCTTTCAAAAACAATGAAAAAATAACAAGGATTTTATTAGATTTTCAAATATGGCTTTTTAAACTATATGTAATACAATTATGAAAAGAAAAGTAGGGGTTAGCGGGCAACTTTTTTAATGGCACTACATTGATAAAACCAGAGGATTCCGAATATCTGGCAAACATTCAAAAACAAGAGGAACGAACATCCTTAAAAGACAACATGATTGTGACTAGGACATAACATTTTTGTCTCGCCTGCGATGAAAGTAGCGGAAAGCGAGACATAGTGATTGCTTTTCCGGCGACGGCGGTGGCGTCAACAATTGTTGAGTGTTCTGCTTATGTTAGTTTGAAGGAACTACTTGTGATAGATCATTGATATTTAATATAAAGTTGCATTACTATCAGTACATATCAGTTTGACGACTATTTCGAGGCCCTGCCCCCTAGGTCATGGTCCAGCAACTTTCAATGTTAAGTTTTCTGCTTAAGTTAGTTTGATAGGAACTATTTGTGATAGATCATTGATATTTTATATAAAGTTGCATTACTATCAGTAAATCTCAGCTTGTCGGCCATTTCTAGGCCATGTCCATCAGATTGTCTTTTTCTGAATTTTATGTGGCCAGGCGAGACATATCTCTGTATCAACAGTTTCTTGTAGGAATTATCTGCAGGTCTGTCCGACAGGGTTCAAATGACCTTGATCCCATTTCATAGTTCAGTTTTACAGGTTAGGTCCACGTATCAGACACTTACTATAAACAATAGGTCAACAATATTGGGCTCATGGGATTATTGTAATGACAAGTGTATTTCCGTCTAGCAGAGTTCTTCTGGACACGACCTTACATTCATGGTTCATTAATCAACGTTATTTAGACTCGTTTCTCGAATACTATTAAGCAATAGATTTATGATATCTGGTGGATGGAACGATGGTAAAATGTACATGTCTGACAGGCGGGGTTCATCTGACCTTGATCTCACTAATTTTCATGGTTCATTAGTCAACGTTAAGTTACCCGAAATTAAAATAAAATATCGTAGTTAAGTCTGCTTCTCAAATACATAACTATACTTGGTGTATGCAAGGATTTATAATAGTACTATATATAAATGATCCTTGGTGAATGGAATCATGATGATAAAATGTTCACGTCTGACAGGCAGGGTTCATCTGGCCTTTATATTAAAAACTTTCAACACAAAATTCACTGAATCATGCAGGCGAGCCATTGCATCGTGTGTACTCGTGTTTTTAGCAAGTTCAGTCTTTCTCCATTCTTACGTCTTTGATTTGTAAAAAATCAGAAACCAAAGTTCATAGAACCTGTAATTGTTCACGTTAATCAATCACTAGAAAATTACAAACACACAAATTCTATTCTATGCAGTAGAATTTTCAAAGTTTAGACGTTTTATTGGTCTGGGAAAATCTGGATTTTTGTTCTGTATAATGCGTTGATAGATGAGGGGCCTGATGGGTTATTTTCGTTCTGCGTGATCGGCGCATTTTTGCTATCGTGATCCGTTTTTCTACAGATTTTTTTTTTTATATTTTCGTGATCCGTGATCATGGAAATTTATTTTCTGTGAATCGTGATTGACAAAAAAATCAACTCGTGAATCGTGATGAGACCCCCCCCCCCCCCCCCATCAGGCCCCTCATAGATTTCTCGTATGTATGTTCATGTAAATCATTGATAACCATTAAAATATTTTGTATTCGTAGATAAATTTGAGAAGAACAGTTATTATGTTGACACAGGATTTATGTATTTGGAGCATGACCTTACTACTGGAGAGGTTCGAAATGTAAGCGAGTCCTACAACGAAGACGCTAAGGGAGACAATCGTGCGATAGAATATCAGGGCCAGAAACCCTTGGCGATTACAGCAGGACAGGGATCTCGGTCGGCATCTGTTATAATGCCCGTGAACGAGCCGGTACAAGTTGCAGATGACCCGAGGATTGTCCGAAGGTCAACAGCAATTCCTGAAAGAGAGGGGTCGGTTATTATTCCAAGTAAAAAGGAGGGATCCGTCATTTTAACAAGAAAAGAAGGACCAGTCATTATGCCACGTAGAGAGGGATCCGTCATTTTGACAAGGAATGAGGGATCGGTCATTATGCCACGTAGAGAGGGATCTGTCATCCTCACACGAAAAGAGGGTTCAGTTATTAATGGATCGGTAATTGGTGGATCCGTAAGATATCCAGCAGAAAGAATTGTGCAAAGAAGGATCGTTACACCTACGGAAAGATTCGCCTTGCCTCCAAGAGAGAGAGTCATGCCAGGACCGAGATATATCCAAGGTCCAACAGCCCGACCACAAACTGTGAGGGTTATGCAATCATCAAATGGCTACGCTCCAACAGTAAATCCGATTCCGGAAGGAAGACGCGTTGTCTACGTTGTTGATGATTCACAGCATCCGGGCCGATACGCAACACAACGTGTTGTTAACAGAAATGATGAAATTGAGCGCCATCATCGCGACAATATTCACAAATTGTATAAAACAACGATAAATGTTGGTAGCAGCGATTCTGATTCTAACAGTGATGTCCCGAAAGAAGTCATTAAAACCCGGTACATTAATTCTGCTAATAATAGATTTAAAAATGTGAAAGGAGTTCCGATCGCCAAAATGTATGTGCCGACTCCAGCAGGACCATCAAAAAATTCCAATTCGGACAGTGAAAATAGTTCTCTTGACAGTGTTGACATTAAAAGATTCGAAAAGGACTCAAAAAAGAGTAAAAGATATCAAAAGAGGAAGTGAATTTGACGAAAATTAATTGTGCAATAAACTATTCCCTGTCCAGGGTAGAAAATGAAATCAAAACTGGTATCCAACAAGAAAATTTAGTTTCGGATTATACTGGTAGAAGTGTATTCCAAATCAGACTCGAATTCTTGAAAGGAATTTCATGCATCACTATCATAAGTGCTTACTGTCATAATCAAAAATGAATATGTATATCATTCATGTATGATAAAGAATATGAATATTATATAAATGTATATATCATCGGTGAATAATATTATTTTTATAAATATTTAACCAAGTAGTAAATTGTGACCTGTTAAAATTACAAATCTAATATCGATCTCTTGATTGTTATTTTCACAAACATTCCGTATGTTCAATGAGGTAGACTTGGTTAAGGGAGGTAACTCTGTAAATCAGTAATGCGTTTGTAAAAGGCAGTTTCATCAAATGCCTTTTAAGCATCCATTTAAACAATAAAAGTAGTCTGTGTCACAAAGAAGCTCAGAATATATTTAGGAAAATGGTTGTATTATAAACAATCGTGCAGGCCTCTACATTATCATTTTTTCTAACTTGTCCCTTCGGACAAGTTGCAAGAAAATCAACTTGTCCGAACTCTGAACTCACTTGTCCGAATTCATAATTTAAAATCTTACATATTGATGATAAGCAATAATAACACATGCGTTTTGATTGTACCTAATAAAGGGAGCATTTTGTTATGTTATATGAATACCACATCAAAATTCAATTTGTTATTTCAGACTAAAAGATTATTTGCAAGACTGAGTTCTCTGACTCAATGTCACTATCATGTATCGATCATTAAATCATCATTTCTTGCCAAACCACTAAGTTCCCCTATGGACCTATTCATTCTGTAGTAGTGGTATGGGTTAAACCAAAGATGTAAATACACCTGGCCACCTTGTATATGATTAATTAAACCTTTTTAATTTATTGATGGTGTCAAAACAAGCTTTTACAAATTATTTTGATTTGTATATACATTGATATATGATCATGAAGTACATAAAACATTTCACTAAAAAATCTGCCTTTTTAGATTTTATTTAATTTTTACATCTTAACTTGTAATTTTTATATATAGATCTTATTAAATAAAACCTTTTTTAATATATTGTTATGCATAAAAGCAAAATCAAATGAAACGTACTTTAGTTTAAAATTTTAAAGTTGTGGTAACACTCCATATGGAGGAGCTCCTAATTCAAGGAGGCTTATACTAAGAAGAAGCATTAACATTGGTTTCTTTCCCCCTTATTTATATTCCCCTGGTCAATGGCTGCCAGCATGTTCAAATACGTTCAATCAGAGACATATTATACAAGTATTATCTGTCTCTGGTTCAATCAATGAATATTTATTTCATTTAGTATGATCAATAAAACAATCATTCATATTTTTGGGAATTTATAAGTCTTGAATTTGATCTATTTTACATCTGACCTCGATTTTTCACTTGTCCCATCGGACAAGTAGTATGGTGAATCTACTTGCCCGACGCCTGTGTCCACTTGTCCAGGACAATCGGACAAACGGTAATGTCGAGCCCTGTCGTGAGAGTGATTTATGAATTAACCTAGGCATACCGGATGAATATTCAAATCTTCGACGAGCATGTTCGATATTGTAAATTTGCTAGTAGACGATTCCCGCTTTGTATGAATAAATCTTGAAATCCATCGAAGACGTTTATTTTCGTATAGTAATTGTGGGTAGTGTTGTATTTAAGGTGATTTCTGGATTAATTTGCTCTTATGAATACAGCTTGTACATTATAATAGAGTTTGTCAACCTATGAATAGTTCATTGATATAGTGAAGTACAAAAAATGTAGAACAAACGTAATTCAGTGGGGCGAATGAATATTGAAGTTGCCATAGCATATTATAGACCGCAATATAAAAGACGGAAGTGCAACGAAAATTCGGCAAATCAATTTCATGTTGGCAAAATAAGGAATGAATAGGCGTTTAAGAATAACAAGTTTAAACATGAAAAAGAAATGTAAACCCCGGTTACCCATTTGCAAATACTAACCTAAATACTACTTTTGAAAATTAAAGTTATCCCTTAAGTTGTCTTAGTTACGTGCGGTCAAAATTGTTATTTGCGAAAGCAAGAATGCATATATTTGTACTCTGTATTTGAACTTTTAAGTAGTAATTAAACATATGTGGTATAAGTGTTGGCGTTTCGTATGTGACTTTATTGAATATGATATTTATATAAATGTTGAAATACTCCTTTAAACTTTATTCAAGTTCCATGAAATTTGTTTGATTTAAAAGTTTTAAGATTGGATGAAAGATATGATTATAACTACGGTGGGCGCATTTCACCACATCAAATATGAAACTGATTATAACTGCATTAAGAACTTGAATAAACCGGATCTGACCAGTTTGATAATTCGATAAACCAAAACTACGGCGTTGATTAAATTTCTCATTTAATTATCCGCCATATCCATTTGGAACACTGCACTCGGTATTTTCCATTGTATCATTTACCGCTTTGACCACTCTCAATGGTTGAATTATGCAACTTTCAATGTTATTTTTAAACGTAGTATATTCATCAAAAACATTTATAAACTTAAAACAAATTTCACTATTGAAGTTTTAATGAAAAGAAAGTTAAAACATCCTCAAATATCATCAATAATAATCTTCGCCTTGATATTAAATTTTAATATTTATTTGAAAGAAAAGATATTTATCAGTATTTTATTGTTATGCTTATTCCTCAGCTTTCTAGATAAAATCTAGTTAGCATTTAAGTTTTTTTTCAAAGTTTGCAAGTTATCACCAGGGTCAGGTTAAGTTTACTGATACTTTATGTAAATGATAAACTTTGTACCTCAGATGAATATCAAACATGTTTTAATTGTTCCAGTGTGAACTTTTAGGTATTAGAAATATCAAATTTTACATGCAAAACGATTTGATCTGTGACACTTAGTTTAAATTTCACTTTTTAAGATTATTATATAGTTTTGTGATCCGTATTTTGTATTAATTTTCCGAGTCATTGCAGTCTGTTCACAGGGAAAACAATATAGTGCATTGAACATTAGTTCCTTGTATGAATGTTCTAAAATAACTATAGCAATTGTAATATTCACAATCCGATTCAAATTAATGATTAGACCTAGATAGAAAATACTTGTTTCCGGCTTCCTTACCTCTCCTACTTACAGGCCTCAAAATGCCTACTAAACAGTAACCCGAATAATTCAGTCCCTCCCCGTAATCGATCTCTCCTACCTACGAGGAGATAATGGAGTAATCGTAGATCAGCGGAATATAACGACTGAATTATTCGGGTTAACTAAACTTTTATCGGTACTTAATAGGAAGTAAACAGTGACACATTGCAGGTGGTCCTTACAATCTCGAGGGAAAAAACATATCCTCTTACTCCAATTTTTAAGGAGGAAATCATAAATAAAGATTTTGTTGGCTTTCTTTGCAATTTCATGAACTCATTACATTTTTGTTTGTAGAGTTTTTTACTAATGTTCAGGGTTCGGGTTTCAAGTAACATTTTTTTAAGTCAAACTCTAATGTCGATCGATTGTATGACGTCAAACAAATGTGAAAACCATTCAATAAATGCGCTTGCTCTCCAATATAGGTGTGGATCAAGGCGTAGGTGCACATTCACTCCTAAATTTTGAGACGATTTTTTTCAAAGCCCCCATCCCCTATACATATACATGTTAATATAGTGTACTCTTGAATGGGAAATTTGTATATTTGTGATATAAGTTGTTTAATATGTTTATATATTGTATACATAAATTATTTTAAGTTACATTGGATATATAATAAAGTTATATTGTTATTCATATTTCTGTTGAATTCATTACTATATTGGATGTATGTATAGGCAGAAACCTAGGATACAAGACGAAGCAGTCTACAGTGTGATTGTTCAGTAATTCACGGGTTATCTTGAATTAATGTCAAAAGTTTTTGTGAAAGGTGATGTTCCAGTGGCGGATCAGGGCGACGGCGTAGAGGGTGTACGTCCCCCTAGATTGGAAAATACATAATTTGTTAGCATCAAAATACTTTTCGCCTCGCAACGCTCGTTGGTATTTCTTCCGTTTTTGCCTCGCCTGCGACAAAAGTCGCGGTATGCGAGAAATAGAAATTACTATCCGGCGACGTAAACTATCTATATCTTTATATTGCAGAAGGTGGAAGACCTGGATGCTTCATACTTTGTCTATAGATGTCTTATGATATGAAGTTTCCGTCTGTCATATGTCCATTGTCCTTGACCTCATTTTCATGGTTCAGTGACTACTTAAAAAAAGTTATTATTGTCGAGCCTGCGACTTTTGTCGCAGAAAGCTCGACATAGGGATAGTGATCCGGCGGCGGCGGCTACGGCGGCGGCGGCGTTAGCTCACTTCTTAAAAGCTTTATATTTTAGAAGGTGGAAGGTCTGGATGCTTCATACTTTGTATATGGATGCCTCATGTTACGAAGTTTCCGACAGTCACATGTCCAATGTCCTTGACCTCATTTTCATGGTTCAGTGACTACTTGAAAAAAAAGTTAAGATTTTTTGTAATGTGAGATTCTCTCTTATTATAAGTAAAAGGATAACTATATTTGGTATGTGCGTACCTTGCAAGGTTCTCATGCCCGTCAGACAGTTTTCACTTGACCTCGACCTCATTACATGGATCAGTGAACAAGGTTAAGTTTTGGTGGTCGTCCATATCTCAGATACTATAAGCAATAGGTCTAGTATATTCGGTGTATGGAAGGACTGTAAGGTGTACATGTCCAACTGGCAGGTGTCATCTGACCTTGACCTCATTTTCATGGTTCAGTGGTTATAGTTAAGTTTTTGTGTTTTGGTCTGTTTTTCTTATACTGTATGCCATAGGTCTACTATATTTGGTGTATGGAATGATTGTAAGGTGTACATGTCTAGCGGGCAGGTGTCATCTGACCTTGACCTCATTTTCATGGTTCAGTGGTCAAAGTTAAGTTTTTGAGTTTTGGTCTTTTTTTCTAATACTATATGCAATAGTTCAACTATATTTGGTGCATGGAAATATTTTATGATCTATTTGTCAGTCACGCAGGTTTTATTTGACCTTGACCTCATTTTCAAGGTTCATTGCTCAGTGTTAAGTTTTTGTGTTTTGGTCTGTTTTTCTTAATCTATAAGCAATAGGTCAACTATATTTGTTGTATGGAAGAATTGTTAGCTGTACATGCCTGCCCAGCATGGTTCATCTGACCTTGACCTCATTTTCATGGTTCATTGGTCAATGTTTAGTTTACTTGGTTAATGTTAAGTTTATGTGACAGTTGTAATAAAGCTTTATATTTAGGACTATCAACATAATATCAATGATTAGTAAAGAAGGCGAGACATTTCAGCGTGTGCACTCTTGTTTTTTGTAATGTTAATTTATCTCTTATAATGAGTAATAGGTCTAAGGATAACTATATTTGGTATGTGCGTACCTTGCAAGGTCCTCGTGCCTGTCGGGCAGTTTTCACTTGACCTCGACCTCATTTCATGGATCAGTGAACAAGGTTAAGTATTCGTGGTCAAGTCCATATCTCAGATACTATAACTAATAGGTCTACTATATTTGGTGTATGTAATGATTGTAAGGTGTACATGTCCAAATGGCAGGTGTCATCTGACCTTGACTTCATTTTCACGGTTCATTGCTCAATGTTAAATTTTTGTGTTTTGGTCTCTTTTTCTAATACTGTATGCAATAGGTCAATTATTTTGGTGTATGGAAATATTTTACGATGTACATGTCAGTCTGGCAGGTTTTATTTGACCTTGACCTCTTTTTCGTGGTCCATTGCTCAATGTGAAGTTTTTGTGTTTTGGTCTGTTTTTCTTAAACTTTAAGCAATAAGTCAACTATATTTGGTGTATGGAATGATTGTTAGGTGTAAATGTCTGTCTGGCAGGTATCATCTGACCGTGACCTCATTTTCATGTTTCATTGGTCAATGTTCAGTTTTCATGGTTAACTTTGTTTCTTAGATACTATAAGCAATAAGTCAACTATATTTGATGCATGTAATGATTGTAAGGTGTACATGTCCAACTGGCAGATGTCATCTTACCTTGACCTCATTTTCATGGTTCAGTGGTAAAAGTTGAAGTTTTTGTTTTTTGGTCTGTAACATAGTGTTTTTTCTAATACTGTATGCAAAAGTTCAACTATATTTGGTGTATTAAAATATTTTACAATGTACAGGTCAGTTTGGCAGGTTTTATTTGACCTTGACTTTATTTTCATGGTTCATTGCTCAATGTTTAGTTTTTGTCGAGCCTGCGACTTTTGTCGCAGAAAGCTCGACATAGGGATAGTGATCCGGCGGCGGCGGCGGCGTTAGCTAACTTCTTAAAAGCTTTATATTTTAGAAGGTGGAAGACCCAGATGCTTCATACTTTGTATATGGATGCTTCATGTTACGAAGTTTCCGTCAGTCACATGTCCAATGTCCTTGACCTCATTTTCATGGTTCAGTGACTACTTGAAAAAAAAGTTAAGATTTTTTTGTAATGTTAAATTCTCTCTTATTATAAGTAATAGGATAACTATATTTGGTATGTGCGTACCTTGCAAGGTCCTCATGCCTGTCAGACAGTTTTCACTTGACCTCGACCTCATTTCATGGATCAGTGAACAAGGTTAAGTTTTGGTGGTCAAGTCCATATCTCAGATACTATAAGCAATAGGTCTAGTATATTCGGTGTATGGAAGGACTGTAAGGTGTACATGTCCAACTGGCAGGTGTCATCTGACCTTGACCTCATTTTCATGGTTCAGTGGTTATAGTTAAGTTTTTGTGTTTTGGTCTGTTTTTCTTATACTGTATGCAATAGGTCTACTATATTCGGTGTATGGAATGATTGTAAGGTGTACATGTCTAGCTGGCAGGTGTCATCTGACCTTGACCTCATTTTCATGGTTCAGTGGTTATAGTTAAGTTTTTGTGTTTTGGTCTGTTTTTCTTATACTGTATGCAATAGGTCTACTATATTTGGTGTATGGAATGATTGTAAGGTGTACATGTCTAGCTGGCAGGTGTCATCTGACCTTACCTCATTTTCATGGTTCAGTGGTTATAGTTCAGTTTTTGTGTTTTGGTCCGTTTTTCTTATACTTTAAGCAAAAGGTCTACTTTATTTGGTGTATGGAATGATTGTAAGGTGTACATGTCCAACTGGCAGGTGTCATCTGACTTTGACCTCATTTTCATGGTTCAGTGGTCAAAGTTAAGTTTTTGAGTTTTTGTCTTTTTTCTTATACTATATGCAATAAGTCTACTATATTTGGTGTATGGAAATATTCTATGATGTACATGTCAGTCTCGCAGGTTTTATTTAACCTTGACCTCATTTTCACGGTTCATTGCTCAGTGTTAAGTTTATGTGTTTCAGTCTGTTTTTCTTAAACTATAAGCAATAGGTCAGCTATATTTGGTGCATGGAAGGATTGTAAGCTGTTCATGTCTGCCTGGCATGGTTCATCTGACCTTGACCTCATTTTCACGATTCATTGGTCAATGTTTAGTTTTCTTGGTTAAGTCTGTTTCTTAGAAACTATAAGCAATAGGTCAACTATATTTAGTGTATGGAATGATTGTAAGGTGTACATGTATTTCTCGTTTGGTTTATATGACCTTGACTTCATTTTCTTGGATCATGTTATGTTTATGTAATAGTTGTAGTAAAGCTTTCATTTAGGACTATCAACATAATATCAATGGTTAGTAAAGAAGGCGAGACATTTCAGCGTGTGCACTCTTGTTGTGTTATGGTCTGTTTTTCTTAAAATTTAAGCAATAGGTCAAGTTTGGTCAACTATATTTGGTATATGAAATGTTTTTTTTTGTGTACATATATGTCTAGCAGGTATCATCTGACTCGGCTTTATTTCATGGCTCATTGGTCAATGTTAAGTTTTTTGTGTTTTGGTCTGCTTTTCAAATAAAAATAGCAGTAGGTCAGATTTATTTGGTGTATGGAATAATTATAAGTTGTACATGTCTGTCTGGCTGGTATCATCTGACCTTGACCTTATTTTCATAATTCATTGGTCAATGGTAAGTTTTGGTCTTTTGGTCTGTTTATGTTACCATAGCTATAGGCCACTCAACTATATTTGGTGTATGGAATGGTTGAAAGTGTTCATGTCTTTCTGACAGGATTTCTCTGACGTTGACCTCGTTGTCATGGATCTTTCAAAATTTTAAGTTTATGTGATACTTGTTGTAAAACCTTTATCATTAAAACTTTCAACATAAAATCAATGGTCAGTAAAGCAGGCAAGACTGTGACTTTCAGCGTGTGCACATTTGTATGGAATTACACACCGTGGCCTATTTCAAAATCCTGGATCCGCCCCTGTATCTGAAACGATGTCTTATTGATGAGTATCCACTGCAAGATTAATTTTGTGTTGGGAAATGCGTGTACTGACATATTTAGCTCTGAGTTGTACTTTATACGGTTATTACTAGTACTGTTATCCGCATGACGTAAGATCACATTTGGAAAGTCGAGATCACTGGAAACATTGTCAGAACAACACCAAATTTACTTTGTGTTCAAAAATACAAAAGCTTTAAAGTATGTAGGTTAATTTTCAGACGTATTTATATAGTAGCACCGAAGTCCAATAAAATGTAATGCAAACGTAACTGTGTTATCCGTCTCTGGCAGTGAGGCATAAGGTGTTCAGGTCGGTCAGTCCTGTCTGTCAGCTGTAGAATTAAGTTAGAATAGCATATATAAAGTAAAAACAGCTACCATAGAATACATTGATATAATATATGAATACTCCAAAATATTAGTTCAAAGGATGGCTTAACCTCAGTCAAGTTCATGCTTCATTGACCGTCATGGAAATTTCATTGTAGGGTTTATTGTAGTTTTCTAATATGAGGAAGGCGTTAACTGTGAAAGGGGACGAAGTCTGTATACATTATTTTTTTGAATTCAAGCATATTTTAACTTCAGAATCTGTTAAAAAATAAACGGAAATACGGAAACGTTTCCGACGTTGGTCCTGTTGTTAATGATTTTAGTTGACGTCATTATCAATATAAACAAAGAATATCATTAGGTAACGTTTTTATTTTCATGTCAAAGAATTATCAAAAACAACAAATTTACGGAAAACAATATGATGCTCCTTCAAATATTTTACAAGTATCGTAACAAACGAGACCAGAAGAAAGAAAGAGATTTTTGCGCAAATGCGGGAAAATAAAAAAAGTCTGGAAAAAAAGTTAGCGATTTTGAGTTCATTAGTAGATTGATTTTTTTTAATTGATTTTTCTACCGTAATTGGGGACTTCGTCCCCATATCGATACAAACATATGAGGATACAATGAAATGATCGGTATATGTCAATAAATTCATCGTAGATACCAGGATTAAAATTATGTACGCAAGATGCGCATTTGGTCTACAAAAGACTCATCATTGACGCTCTAATAAAAAAAGTTAAAAATGCCAAATAAAGTAAGAAGTTGAAGCGCATTGAGGACCCAAAATGTTTTGCCGAAAACAGATAAGGTAATCTATTGTATTCAATGAGACAGTAACCCAAAGATAACAAAAAACGTAGAAAATAACTCTCCAGGTCAATATGCTGTTCGTTACGATATATGCGTGTCTATACCATATGACACACTTTAAATTCACTCGTCTAGTGCAAACAAATGGAAATATAATTCACTTATTGAAAACAAAAAAACGTGACTTCTTCACAGAAAACAGTTTAGATATGAACATTCCATAGCTTCATTTCCATAGCTTCATTTCAAAGGATTCTGTAAATCTTAAGATTGATTGTTGATTGTTTATAAATGTTCAGTGCCAAATACTCCAAATACAGTACATCAATCTGTGAGCAAAAACGATACATCAATCTGTCAGCAATCACCGTGCAAATTTTCAATAATTAAGGTAAATTGAAGAAAAAGTGTTGAAGGTTGAAGATTTCTAGGTGCAAACTAGGAACTTTCTTTGTGTTTCGGACGGATGCACATAATCAAGTGGTTAGGCCTACTCTCGAATCTAGCGATGCAGGTAAAAACAAAAATTAAAAAAAAACATGACAAAACCATAAAAGTTTGTCAGGTCCACCTCTTGCAGCTAAAATAAGAGAAATCCTAAAATAATTGTCCTTGTATTCTATATAAAAATTCTTATTTCAGCTTAGCCGGTTTTGCCATTGTTAAAATATCCGTAGGCGTTGGCCGTCAAATTAAATACTTTGTTTTGCTTGAACTTTCAGCACTAAAAGTCTGTTCTTAATCTGTCTTTATTACTATTATAAGTGATACAAGTAAAGAAAGTGAAAGCTTTTTTTTTATTTGTATAACTCAGAAGTTTTAATGGTAAGATGGTTAGAGTAAAGGGAATCCGAAAAGAATTGTAATCATATTAAAAGAATCGGCTTATCCGGTTTTATTCTTGTTAAAATATCCGTAGGCGTAGGCCGCAAATTAAATGGATAAAGTGTTTATTTTACTTGAACTTTCAGCACTACAATTCATTTCTTATTTTTCTTTTTTTTTTGCTGTGAGAGCATTAAGACACCTAAAGGATTATTTTTGGTCAAAACTGCAGCTCTATGTTGAAAAAAGAAAAGAAAAACAAGATATAACAAGCATTTTAAGCCTTTGTAAAAATTGTATTTTATAATCCTATTAAGTATGTGAAATAATATTGAAATAAATATCGAACAACCTACGGAAAAATAAACATTTATATATAATTGACACGTCTTTCTACAGTACACACGGTTTATTGGTTTCAATTAAGATAAAGGACCAGACATCTTATAGCTATTTGGCGGTCATTACTGGTCATCACAGATGAAAAAATCAAAACATCAGGTCTATTCTCGACACAATATATTATAGGCTCACACTGAAATTTAACCGCAAGTGCTGAAAATCATATCTAGAATGGCCGTTTAATATCTCAAGTTACAGATATCAATTAAATCGCAAGCGCTTGACGTTTTATCACAAGCACGCGACACATGTTCTAACTTCATCATGGCGTGCATGTATGAGCTAAGACAACATGCATGGGGGTCTAGGTGGAGTAAGGGGGTCTTCGTTTCTGTCAATATTCTTTAATTTTTAAGACCGTATTTCTCTATTTATTTTGACCATTTTCTCTATTGTTTATTTTTTTAGCACCTCTGAATATTTGACCCGTTTTATATTAGTCACAGTACCACGGGTACATGATTACGACAACAACAAATATAACAAACTCAACTAGAATTCAATAATTGCAGCATTTCAGAATCCAGGTATTGATATAATTTGTTGAGCACTAGACATTAGAAGTCGTGCAACCGAAATTTCATCCATTTATATAAATAATTCAGGTGCAGTGACAAAAAAGAGTCTTCAGTAACTAATTGATCTATATTAAACGTTAACTATGCATGGAGTCTCATTTCTGACATCTACATTATATGGGTTGACATAGTTTAACTTCGCCACATTTTTATGTGTCTGTCCAGGTAACCAGATAAAAGTATTCGTTGCTCGTATAGCTTTCCTTGAGACTTTTTGTTTGTTATGGTGTTGCAGCATGTATAGTTTTGCTTTGTGGTCGGGTTTTTTAGGCGGGGTAGAGATGTTGGATTCTGTCTGGCGGGGTAGAGATGTTGGATTCCGTCTCGCTCGTACTTTGCACCATGTCCTATTTGTATGCATCATGTTTTGTCCCATGATTTTTGGTTTTGTTTTTCTTGTTTACCATCGTTTGTTTGTTTTTTTAACGATAGTTATACTTAAATGTCTTCTCCCTCTTTGTTCCGTTTATTTGCTGTGTCGTTGACATTACACCACTCCTCCTTTCATTTTTGAATATACTGTATTAGCAGCATTTGTGTACGAAGTTTTGATATAAGTACAAGTAGCAAAAAGGCTAAGTACAAATTAACGAATTGCGTGCATTATATACGAACTAAAGAACGAAACCTCCTTTAGTATTCTCGTTTGAATTGTTTTACATTTGTCATTTCGGTCCTTTAATTGCTTGCTATGCAATATGGGTTTTGCTCATTGTTGAAGGCCGTATGGTTACCTATAGTGACTAACGTCTTCGTCATTTGGTCTCTGTTGGCGAGTTGTCTGTTATTGGCAATCACATTCTGTTATTTTTATATTTATGGCAAAAATACAAGAAAGAAATAAAGAATGTTTTTCATTCTAATTCAAAGCCCTTGATTGACAACAAGTCATTCACATTGACAAACATAACACTATGACGTAATAACATAGTTACACAAAGAAAAGCAGTATAAACGGTTTGTATACATATACCCATACATACTACTATATATCATATAAATATACATAAAGAAACACCACTATTTGTCCAAACTAAACAATAAATGAAATTTCAAAATGAAAATATAATTGATCAACACATATACTTGTATATCATGAATATATTAGCAGGTGTGCACCCATACGTTTTGAAAGGATGCATTGAGGGTACTGTTGGGGATTTTTTTCTGCGGGGAAAAGGGCTCCACTCTTATCATATCCAATTTTACCTGATTTAAAAAAAATGACAGTTTATGGAAGAAAGCGTGTTCTAACCTCTGGAATCCCCCCATCTGGTGTGCAGTCATTGTGCTTCTGAAGCGGAAAAAAAAGTTGTTCGAAGCAAAAACAACTTGAAATACCAAGTTAAATCTGAGGTTAACAGTTCCATTCATATGCACTAATATCAAGTTCAAGATTCGACATAAAAAGATGGGAAATAACTCAATTTCTGTCACGATGAACTATAAATGTTTTCCCTAACATTGACGCCATGATTCGCTGAAGATCGAACGAGTTTTTATTGATTAACTGAGAAATAAGAGTCGAGAAATATGACAATTGTAAGCAACCCACCAACAAAAATATTAAAAGACATTTTTGAGGTCAAGATATAGAGTTTTCAACAACAGACAGATGTCTGTGGAATTAATCAGACTTGTGAATATACATGTATATACATTCATATTCAACAGAGACTATCGCAGAACTACCACCAACACCGCATTTTTAAATAGCCCCCATCCCCTTTCCACCCCCAAAAAACAAACCAAAAACCATAGAACAAAATAAAAAATAAAAACGAAATAAAAAACAAATATGAAATATGACAAAACAAAACTATACTGACGAGGTTTCTGACACCAAACAGGCACTTACATTTATATATTTATGGCAGGTCTAAACATTTTTTTTTCATATCTCACCCCCTTTTTTCTCGATTCTAGAAAAGAACATAAAAAAGGAATCAGTTAAGGAAAGAACTTAACTATAAAATTTCCATATAAGAGACAACAAAAACACTGGTACAATTACTCTATACAGAACGAAGAAATTTTGTAGTTACTGCATACAACAAGCTTAGAATGCTGATAGTCATACCATAACCTCACACCTCCTTATTCAGCTAATCATGATTAACATGCTGATAGAAAATTATGTCGTCTGACAGTCTGATATCAGTGGCTGTACTTCAGAGAAGATTTCATGTAGCAACGTTATCACAAAAACTGCAATAGCTTACAATGCGGTATGGGTCCTGCCCATTGTTGAAGGTGTACGGGGACCTGTACTTGTATGTTTACCTCCTCGTCTTTTGGTTTTCTCACTGGGAACTATATTCATAACTTATTTTTAAATAGCTAGTCATAATATTGCGTTATGCCAAGATAATACTGTAAAGAATTCCAATGCAATATAAAAAAAAAAAGACCAACAAACGGAACATTTATTCTACCCTTATACTATACATGAGCGAATTGATACTCACCCTCCCCAAAATAATTAACACAAAAAAAAATTGATGAAAAAAACAAGTCCAGGCACAATGGTTCAACAACGTATCTTGTAGTCTGAGCTTGCTCTGATGTCGACTTCCGTTTTTAGGGAAATTCATGAAATTTAAGGATAACATTCAATATATAAGGCGTTACATCTTTTTTTACTGAGCATTTTTGTTTTTACTGGGAAAAAAATAAAAATTCAATTTTTATAAGAAGCAGTCTGGGTTGCATTATATATACCAACGTTGGATATTATAACGGATTGAGCTACTTAAATGTTTACTTGAGAAAGTTCTACATCACTTGATTTTATTGATTGTTGTTTGTTTTAATCTCGAATTATTGATGTTAATGTCTCGTCAAATGATCGGGTCCTCAATTGAAATAAAATTATTTTTTTTCTTATCATACTATTTGCATGTCGACGCATATTTTGGGTCTGGCTGGGGTTTAACGAATAGATAATGATGTGAGGAAAAAGTAGGCAAAAATGGAACGAATATAGACAATAGAGGATAATGGAAAAAACAAATCAAAATTAAAGAATAGATAAAATATGGCTTCAGAATTAAAGAATACAGAAATGAAGACATATTCCCCGCAGACATTCGTAATTTTTCAAAATTTTATTTTAAAAAAAGTTTTGTGTCGCTATGAAAAAAAGTCAGAGCTCTGTCTACTCCGTTATTCCATAGATGTATAAACCCATACATATGGTTAATCGCAATGTGTGCATTTTTTTTATGTTTATCATGCAATTGGCTGTTGGTAGTGTCTTCGTAAAGGTCCGCGTTTTTTACTCAAGGGAAAAAGTATGCAAAACGTAACAAACAATCATGCATTCATGATTAGATAACAAATAGACAAATTTGACAGATCACGTGACGTCTGTCGCGGGACATTACATTTCCCGAGGCAAAGCTATCAACGGCTGAATATTTTTGGAAGGAAAAGAAGCAGTTGAAATATGCCTTCAAGAGTCGCGAGAAGAGGTTTAAGTACGAAAGAATCGAGTAAGTTACCCGAGAAATTTTCAAATTTGTCAATTTCACCTTTGGTAAAATTCACTTCACCTGTGATTTGAGAATTTACACACGTATATTTCACCTTGTCGCCAGAATAGCCTCCTTGTCAAATTATTTCGATGTTTTAGTATACACACATACATATATAGGTAAATAGTATACATACAGACATTTAGTTCTGAATTTGTGAACTGCAAATGCCATACATGCATAGATATTCGTCTCCCCCCTTTCTCTTTGAAAAATCCAACTTGTCGAAAATAATCAAAGGTTTAGAGTATGAGAAGTTATTTCTTTTTAATAAAAATATACAAAAAAATTTGCATTGTTCTTTATTTTATGATTGTAGGTCTTAAGTAAGACGACTCAAGCTAGAGTTATCTCCCATTTCCAATGTTGGGACCTGTATTTTCAATTTGCATTCATGTAATTGAATAAACTGCATTAAAAAGGACATTGACTTACTGCATGTTCTGAACAATAGCAACCAGGCGGGATGATTTAATTTTATTATTGTCATAAATTAAACAAGTTTAGCTCATCCGACTACGAAAAAAAACTCCATTTGCAATTTTTAGTGAAATTTCAGTTTTTGAAGTGCAATCTAATATTTTGCAAACAAAATAAAGAAGAACTTAGTACTTACTATAATTTTGAAATATTTTTTTTTACCTTGACAGTGAAATGTTTTTGACTGCACAAACACAAATTGATTCAGAAACAGAATTTCACTTGAAAAGGGTCAAAAACAGATAATTTTTTAAAGCTCAATCAAGTTAATAAATATAGCTCAATTGAGCTATAAAAAGCTCTAACTATATATTGAATTTGATAAAGGTAACAAAGACTTCCTTTTGAACGACATCTGTTGAAGGAATTATGACGCATCAACATAAAGGGTTCAAAATGTAGTGTTTGCCATGGAGTAATTTAACTGTGTGAAATGAGCCGACTCACTCACACACTGATTAAAGTCTACACATCAATAAGTCAAATTTATTTACATAAAATATATAGTGAAAAATTTAAAAAAGAAACGATTTTGTCCATATTCTGGTCATGCTTGCAATAATTAAAAATTGACATGACATACCCAGTAATTTGCTTTTCTTGGAATTTTCCTAGTAATTTTTTTTAACAAAGAATTCATTATTGTTAATGTTTTTTTGTAAAAATCAGTGAAGGGTAAGTTTCCCACGATATAAGATTACAAAAAAATGCAGATTAAAGAAAATCTATGCAGGAAGTAAAAACTTTTTGTATCTTCTACCTTCCCCCCCTCCCCCCCAAAAAAACCCCAAAAAAACTCGTATATTATCAGAATACACAGAAATTTTATTGTCTTGAAAATTATTATTAATAGGTGATAATACTCCCCAATTGGCTTAAACTTTGATCTCATCGTAAAAGCGTTTCGAAATGGCAGAACACATGTTATATAATTTTTTGCACATTTGTAATGTTATATATAGATTATAGAACAAGTATGTAATGATACTTATTATCTACATTCACAACTTTACAATAGAAAAAAGAAGAAAGCAAGATTTCAAAAACACTTGACCTCATCTCTTTCAAAAAAGTGCTTGTCATTTTTTTAATTATATGTAATATTTTGATGAATAAGTGCTTTATGAGCCATGCCAATCGAGTCAGAAATACAAACCACTGAGATACGACATTTCTTTAAACATTTTTAAAGTTAAATGATCTGTTCTAAAATTTAGCCTTCATAATCATATTTATGATTTACTGAAGAATTTAAATGTGTGGGTGTTGGAATATTTTGAGTTGATATTAGGATTAGAAATTATTCAGGGTTGAACTAAGTAGATCTTATGTGGGACCAAACCAATTACCAATGTACACAGTTATGATATTAAGAAGATATAAAAGTGGTCAGCCACTTTTTTAATCTATACAATTAAATTCTAGGAACATGGTGGCAAAATTTATATTATGTAGAATCTGTATTTTGAAAAAAACTTGATCTTTTTCTGTCATTTAAAAAACAATTTTCAACTAAAAGTAAATGTGAAATTCAAATATTTTTTTATAAATGGAAAGCAATTTAAATCAGACATTAAATAAGTGATTCAGCCAGACTTCTGGTGCTTCAGGTCAATTTGCATTTTAATTTAAAATTTCTTCCAGACATTACTAAAGAAGTTAAATAAAATCTTTTAAATTTCCTTCAATGGGGAAAGATTGCTGTGTGGTCGAAGTAGTTTATCTTCAGTCATGTCAGTGATCACGTAACTTGTCAACATGGAGGTTGAGAGTTCCATTTCTGCTAGTGGCAAAATGCATTCAACTTTAGGGAGCTACCATTTGATTTTTATGGGGGGGGGGGGGGGGGGAGGCTAGGATGAAAAATGTTGTCCTGCATTTTTTTTAGTTGTAATCTCTGTCCTGCCTTTTTATTTTTCACTCTATTTGGTCCTGCATTTTTTATTAAAGTTTATCCTGACTTTTTTTTACCTAAATTGTCATCCTGACTTTTTTTTTTTGCAAGTGTCTCATCCTGCCTTTTTTTTTACTCAAAACTCCTGTCCTGCCTATTTTTTTCACATTTCATCCTAGCCCCCCCCCCATTACAAATCAAATGGTAGCTCCCTTAGTCACTCCAATCTTAATTGACTTGCATTGCCAGTTTCCATGCTGAAGGTCAGTGGTTCTCTTCTGGCTTTCTGGCTGCCACAAGATAGATAGCCAAGATTACTGAAAGTGGTGTTAAACACTAAAAATCATCAATTAGTCAAATTCCTTCAGGACATTTAGAGAGAAAGGTTTGCAAATGACCTGTGATCAGTGCCTGGCTAAACTACTGCATTATGTTGACAGGACTGGTGCATAAATGTTGTCTTCTCAAAATTAAAAAAAATGTTTATACATTTCTTAGGACACCAGTATGACTGTGTCATGGTCAAAGCCTATAACATGCTTATTGACCAGTAAAATGGGATTTTTAGACTAGACCATACTGTTCCATATTGCACTGTAACTGTTTTAGCTTCATGTATAACTAATGATTGCAGTCATTGAAATTTTGTTTGTATCATTAAAATCAAGAGTAATTTTCTACTGGAAAAAATGTCTGGGGAACAGTGAAATGTGTCCCTGCACATTGGGAACTATTTCAATATGCCTAAAATGCTAGGAAAAATAAATCAGTCTGTTATTGCTTTAAACTGATTGATTGATTACTTATTGTGATGGTTTTATTACTTCAAAAAATGGGAGTTTCAGGCAGTGGCGGATCCAGGGGGGGGGAGGGAGTGTTTCCGGGGGTTGGAACCACCCTTTTTTTTGGATGATCAATGTTTTTGAATGGGAACACATGGTTGGAACACCCCCCCCTTTTATCCTTGGTTGGAACACCCCACTTTTAAAAATGGCTTGAGCCGCCCCCGGTTTCAGGTTCATGATAATAAAAACGTGCATTTAAAAATCAACAGTGATTTCCCTTGATAAACATTTTTTAGATTACACATGCATTTTCAGGTCAATGATTCACAAAAGGAAATACATGCATTAATTTCTTAATCTACAGTTATGTTTGCAAAATGGTCAGCGGCAAATATTTCATGCATATTTAAAACACAATTAATACTATACATGTACGTATTGAAGGCCGTACTTTGACCTATAACGGTTTATTTTTATAAATTGTGACTTGGATGGAGACTCAGTTGTCTCATTGGCACTCATACCACAAATTCTTATATCTATGCTCTGCAAAATTTGTTAGCCTTGATAAGACGTAATACATTTGGACTGTCACTGGAAAATGAGATTATGATAGATAGGCTTATGAATTTGATATATTGTGAAGCATTAAATCATAATTACCCATATTTTAAAAGATGGTATCCAGTTAGTCATGTTATAGGATATTAAGTAATTTACTCCATTTGTAAAAAGGTTAAAAAAAATATAGTACAAGTCACAATGCAAGCTATTAAAGAACCTAACACTAGATTTGAGGTCAAGGTAGAGAGATGTTTGAGGGTAAGAATTAAAAGTCTGAACTTTGGCTATTTTGTAGTGCATTTTCTGAAAACTCACTATTTCATTAAATGCACACCAATAGTTGAATATATTATTGAAAATCAAGATATATAGATAACAATAATAATAACTAATAAACCAGGAACTAAAGTAAGCCACAAAAAGTCGCAATAATTTTGAGTTTGACAATTTTTACGGTTATTTTTCATAGTGGCATATATGTAACATGATGATTTCATTATGTTACAGGAATTTTTATGCCCCCTTCGCAGAGGAGGGTACATTAAGGGTTACCCTTTTCCGTCTGTACGTACGTATGTACGTCCCGAAATTGGTTTCCGTTCTCTAACTTTGCTTCAACCAAATGTTATGAAACTTATACACAATGCTTATTACCACAAAACACAGATAAAGTTTGAATAAGGGAAGCGCCACTTTTACCGTTCTAGAGTTATGCCCCTTTACAAATGGAAAAATTGCTGAATTTTTCGTTTCCGTTCTATAACTTAAGTTTGCCTCAACCAAATGTTATGAAAATACACAATGCTTATTACCACAAAACACAGATCAGTTGGGTGGCTTCACTTTTACCGTTCTTGAGTTATGTCGGTTTATAACATTATATGCAAGCAGGGGCATCATCTGTGTCCCATGGACACATTCTCCATGTACTCATTGCATGTATTTTGTGCAAAATGGCATTAAATTTGCCATTCAGGCCTTGAATTATTCTAAATATATCATGAAATTACACATTTATTTCACGCATGTTAAACTGTATCCACATCCTCCTTCAGCAAACATGGCCTTAAATGTATATGATGAATAGCTGAAGTTACTATTTTTCCTCAATATAATGTCATCTTTTGTTATTAATGGCAATTAATTTTTCAGGGGAACTTTTTCTTTATATTTATAATATTCATACCTCCACAACTATTTTTCATTTGGATCTTGGTATGAAGTTCAAGAAATAG